AAGTCATTTATAACGTGCTCAGAAAAATAAATACCACATGTGTTCTCTTACATGTAGATCTTACATTTTAGCTTTATGGAAGTGTGTGTGTGTGTGTGTGTGTGTGTGTGTGTGTGTGTGTGTGTGTGTGTGTGTGATATGGGTGTAGGAATGTCAACAGGAAGGAGGCAGAAAAAAGTCACTAAAGGTGAAGAGATTATATGTTTCTGTAGGACCAGAGAGGAGCAGGTGTCCAGGTTTCCAGTTTCTCAGGAATACTGAGCTCTGGGTAACCAACCTTAAGTTTCTAAGAGATAATAGATCACCAGGTGAGAAGATCTCCAGCTACAACAGGACCAGAGAGCACAAGGCACTCAGGCTTCCCATTATTGCAGGGTCACAGAGGAACCTGCAACCTGTTCTCCATCCCGGTGCTCTCAGAGTTCAGTGCAGAGCTTTGTCTCCAGTGTTCCCAGCATCCCTTGAGAAACTGGAGCTTTGGTTTTAGTCATCCCTGAGGTCATTATGGGGGCAGCGTTCTGAAGTTTCCAGTGTTAGAGGTCACTCCAGGACCAAGAGTCTATATTTCTGTAGTCCTATACTTTACTTTGGCCTGTAGTGCCAACCACATCCCTCTGATAGCAGACAGATTTCACTTCTTAAGTTTGGTATCTTGCCTCAAGCAGGTTCATAGAATCTAAAAGGCCAAGATTTGATTCCAGCTGGTCACTTTGGTGCTTAGTATCCAGCCCCACCCTTGGTCCTCGGGCAAACAACCATGACAACTTTATCAACTCATTCAATATCATCATGTTTCATCCGTCCTCATAGCTGAATGCCATGTAGACATTCCTCCTAGAAGAAGCACTAGAACAGCATATCCCAGTAGTATCTGGGACATGTCCAAGAGGCCAAGCCCAAGAATTCATGGTATAGAAGAAGAAAAAGAAAATGAAATGGAATAGACAGACCATTAAGTGAATTAAAGCAGAAAACTCCCCAATGTATTGAAGGCAGACATCCAAATTCAAGATGTGTATAGAACTCCAAACAGACAAAATAAGAGAAGAAATACTCCATGATATATTATAGTCAGGATGTCAAAATACAAGTAACGAAGGAATCTGGAAAGCAGCATGAGAAATGCCTCCACTCACACACAAAAGCCCCAGTGCAGAATTATCCCAGACTTTTAGCCAGCAACCAAAATGTCAGAAGAGCATCAAATGAAATATTCCAAGCTTTGAAAATAAGCAAGTGTGAGCCAAAAACAATACAGCCAGTAAATTTATCTTTCAAAACTAATGGAGAAATGAGGGCATTTCAAGACAAATACAATTTCAAGTGATTCCTGGCAACCAGGTGAGCAATGCAGAAAGTTCTTAGTTAATGATTTGCAAGGAGGAAGAGGAGAGGCAGTTTTCTTCAAGTGATTACATGCATGCTCACACTTAATCAAAAGCACAGATGAACAACAAAGAGTTTTTTCTTTCAAAAAGTTAATAAGATCGACAAACTCCTAGCTACTCTGATTGAAACAAAGGGGGAGATGATGAAAATTAGTAAGATCAGTGCTCAGAAGGTTGTCATTGCAACTGATTCCAGTGAAATACATCATTAGAACTGATTGCAAAAACTTATTCTCTGAAAAACTGGACAATCCATAAGAGGTAAATGAACTTCTAAATGAATATCAGTTGCCAAAATTAAGGGCCTGAGACATGAAAACATAAACAGATCCATCAAAGGCAATGAGATTGGAGCTGTTATTAAAAGTCTTTCAAAGTAAAGGTTAGGACCAGATGGATTCACTGCTGAATTCATTAAACTTTCAAGGAAGACACCAGACCCATCCTTCTTAATTTGTTCCATAAAATAGAAAATGAAGGAAAACTGCAAAATCCATTTAATAAATCTAGTAATATCTTGCTATCATGTAAAAACACCACAAAAGGAAGAAAAAAATAAGAAAACTGGAGACCAATTTCTTGGATTAACATATGAAAAATCTTTTTTTAAACCTTTCTTTGTTTTTTATTTAGAGATTTTCTATTCATTTTACATATCAACCACAGATTCCCCTGTCCCCCTCTACCCACCTCCCCAAGCCTTTAGCCTCAAACCACCCCCATTCCCATATCTTAAGACAATACTTGCAAACTGAATTCAGGAATACACGAAGAAGATTGTATATGATGACCAAGTGGATTTCATCCTAGGAAGGCAAGGTTGGTTCAAAATACATAAGTCGAAAATATAATACACTATATAAATCAACTGAAGGACAGAAATCACATAGTTACTTCAGTTGATGCTGGAAAGGCACTTGACAAGTTCAGTATGCTTCAATGATAAAAGTTCTGGAAACTTTAGGAATATATGGAACATACCTCAAAACAATAAGGGCTAAATATAATAATTACATGGAGAAAAACTGAGAGCAATACTTCTAAAATCAAGTATGATACAAGAATGCACAACCTGTTCTCTCTTATATAGTGCTTGACGTTTTACCTATAGCAATTAGGACAAGAGAAACACATAAAACAGGTAATAACATCAGTAAAGGAAGAAGTCAAGTTGTCCCTATTTGCATATGACATGATTCTTTACTTAACAGATTGTGGATACCCACAGAGGCTTCCTATTAAGACCTTACTCAAGGTCAGAGAATCTGAGCTTGCTTTACCTAGTAGGGCTGCATAATGAAATGATTTGGCCACGGGCATGGTTACCAGGTGTTCTGAAGGGTCTGCACTTGGCTGTAAGTTGTGGTTTGATCTCGAAAGGGGGAGGTCTTTTGCCTTGCCTCTTGGTATTGTATAAAAAGCCCCTTGGAATAAATCTTGAAGTGAGTGGGTATTGACCCTGGTCTTTAAGGAAGCTATCCTGTGTCTCTGTCTTTCTTATTGTCTCTTATCTTTCTATCTAATACTTCCTCATTCTCCTCTCCTTCTCCCAAGAACCTTTTGACAGGTCAGAGCTGGACTCTGACAGACCCTGACAAAAGATCTTAAAAGACTCTACCAGGAAACTATTTGACCTACTAAATACTTACAGTGATGTTGCAGAACAGAAATCATTATAAAAAGTCAGTAGCTTTTATTTATATATTCAGTGTACTCTCAGTGAAAGAAACTAGGAAATATATCCCATTCAATATAATTCCCCCCAACAAGATTTAGGAATATATCTAACCAAAGATGTGAAAGACCTCTACAATGAAAATTAAAGGTATGAAGGAAATAAAAGAAGCTAGATGAATGGAAGACATTTCATGTTCCTGAGTTAACAGAATTAATATTGTGGAAATGGCCATAGTACTAAAATTAATTTACAGGATAAATATAATACCTATCAAAATTCTAGTGTTATATTTCACATGTTTAGAAAAAAACTATACAAGAATTCATATGGCTCCACAGAGGCTGTGAATATTGAAAGAAATCCTAAGAGTAAGAATAATGCTGGGGGTATTCCAATACTCAGTCTCATATTACACTATAGAGCTATAGTGAAAAAGACTGCCTGCGACTCACATAAAATCAGACAGAGAAGACCAGTGGTAAAGAATAGAGGACATGGAAATAAAATGACAAAACTGTGCTAAAAAACAAAGTGAGTTTTGACAAGGGAGGAAGCAATTAACACTGGAAAAAGGATAACCTATTCAACCAAAGGTGCTGGCTAACTATCAGCAGAAGAATAAAACTTGATTCATTCACTTAGTGCAAAGATCACTTCAAAATTGAATAAACACCTCTAACTTTAAACCTAAAATCTGAAATGTCAAGAACACACATAAGGGAGACCATTTAAGATACTGTGGCAAGCCAACTTTCCAGACACCAATAGAACACCAATGGCACAGAATCGAATCCTGTTACCAACAGATGAGACTAAGTGAAAATAAAATTTCTGCACAGCAAAAGAAAAGATTAGCAGAGTAAAGAAACAGCCTGCAGCTTTGAAGAAAAGCTTTACCAGCTACACTTCAGAAAAATTTGGAATATGCAGAATTTATAAAGTACAGAAATTAAACACCAAATAAATAATCCTGTACGTCAACAAATGGGCAACTATACTGAATAGATAGTTTTTAAAAAGAAAGAAAGAAACACAAATGGCCAATAGTATTTTAAAAGATGTTCAGTATCCCTAGTGGTATAGAAAAGACAAATTTAAAGTACTTTGAGATATCACCTCACCTTGATCAGAATAAGTATCATCAAGAAATCTGACAACAAATACCTGAGAAAATGTGCTGAGAAAGCATCACCGATTCACTGTTGATGTGGTGCAAATTAATACAACCATTGAGGAAATCAGTTTGGAGATTTCTCAAAAATTAAGTCTATAACTACCAAAGGACCTAGCAATTTCACTTTTGGACACAAACCCTTGCACCTCCACATTCTGTTACAGAAATATCTGCACTGTCATGTATATTGCTGACATTTATGATAGGAAAGAACTGGAATGAAAGTAGTTGTTCTGGAACAGTTGAATGGTTAATGAAAATGTGCTGTATAAATACATATAAAACTGGAATCCTACTCTGCCCCCCAGAAAAATGAAATTACAGCATTTGTAGGAAAACGGATAGACTTAGAATGTATGACATCACACAGTTCAGATAGAAAAAGGTACATGTTTGTGGTTGATATATTGTGCACCCCAATAAACTTATCTGGGGTGAGAGAACAGAAGAGCCACTAGATAGACATAGAAGCCAGGCATGGTGGCACACACCTTCTTCCCAGGACTTGAGATCTCATGTCTTGCTTGGGAAAGACACACGCCTTTAATCCTAGGAAGTGATGGCAGGAAGCAGAAAGGTATCTACAGTGTGAGGACCAGGACCTAGAGACTTTTTAAACTTTTAGCTTTTAGCAGAAGTTTAGCTGAGATACATTTGGATGAGGACTCAGAGGTTTTCAGTCTGAGGAAACAGGATTGGCTGAGAAGTTGGCAAGGTGAGGTTGAATGTGGCTTGTTCTGTTTATCTGAATTTTCAGCATTCACCCCAATAACTGACCCCGAGTTTTCTATTAATAAGTCTTTTAAAAATTTGTGTTACACATGTTATCCCTCATTTTAAAACTGTAGTCAATAATTTATATATATCTATATGTAACAAGTGTATGTGTATGTACAGTATAACAAGTAGAAAAGAGAATGAGACAGATGTAATATTAGGGAATGAGGAAGGAAGGAATTCTTATAATGGACAGGAGATATAAAAGAGGATATAAAGGTATCATTTGGTTTTGTCAGTTCTAACTGTGCCATAGACTATTTTCATTTTTGGTGGTGGATGAATACAGAAAACTTTCTAATAGTGAAAGTGTAAAATTGAATACAGCTCCAGAATTGTTATTCTAACTGGATAGAAGCTCATTGAAATGCATATAATTTGGATCTGGCTAATTTTTGTGTGTGATGTTCACTGTGTTTGCAAAGATTTTTTTATAATAAAATTTAAAATGTTAAAATGATAAAAGAGAGGGGAGTTTGGTAGCGCACCTTGAACTGAAATGACAAGAACAAAGGGTTCCACTGGCAGGAAGAAGGGCTTGCAGAAGAGGGAACAGAGGGATGAAAAAGCATTTGTGAAAATGTGATGACCAGATCCATTACTCACACCCACTTTACGGAACGTGCATGAGCACATGCAGGGGTGCTCGAGTGCATGTGTGCATGTGTGCGCATGCACACACACTGACACAAACATGAACACAAAGATGTGATGGTAGATGTGGCAGCAGCTGAGAAGAAGGAATTCAGCAGTAATGACATGTAGGTAAGAGTGATAGAGGGTGAACACAACCACAGTACAGTCGATATCTGCATGAAATTGCTAAAACAAAATAAATTTCCTAAGAACCTAATTATACATGAAAGGGACAGACGTCTTATTTCTCATAACACTTATGTTTTAGGTGGCTCCAAATATTCCCATGATGTCTTTATTAGTGAAAACAGCTGGTTCACAGCTGGACTTAATCTATCTTGCAAAAAGCAAACTTCTGAGAAACTTTGGTCACTCTTGTAATCACTACTATTGATTGCTGTTGATAACTACCCAGTGTTTACACCAAGTCATGTACCTGATCACGGTGGGGAGTAGCTCATTTGAGAGTAGATTATTACTGCTAGCAATCACAGAAGAATTTGCTCCCATCAGTGTTATCAAAACTGCATACAGAGTCCGCATTTCTGTGAAGAAGAAAATCAGGGACAGTGGTCATTCTGAGGTGAAGAAATTCACTTTCCACTTGTAAGTGGGGAATACAGAGTGGAGAAACTGCAAGAGTAAAAGTCCTCAGTGGGTAATAATTTAAGGAAGGTGACCTATCTGCAAGTACTGGTTTATGGAGAGTCAACACTGTGGTTCACTGTATTCCTATACCTGGTATCTCTGACACATTTCAGAAGTAGAGAGCTTGATGAATCAAGGAGATACTCATCGATTTCCCTGTTTTCTACCCAGCATCTCACTGTCCTTCCTACAGAATGTAGGGCAGTCATGGGGAAATTACAGAGGACTGTGTTCTCATTTGAATATTTAGCAGGAATGTGCCATGGATAAGAATGAGGGAAGGTGAACCTGACCATAGTACATTCTATCTACACCTGCATGAATGTCAGAAACAAAAGTAAATGTTATAAAAAACATAATAACAATTAGAAGAACAGATGTTGCATATCTCGTGGCACTTGTATTTTGGGTGACTCCAAATATTCACATGAGATATTTATTCATTTTCTATTTCAATATGGTAGAAGAGTGTCATGGAAGGAGAGACGTGGGCAAGTTGGGAATCAGTTTGAATTGAAATGGTGTTTCAAGATTCAAGAATAAGGGCGTTGCTGCTGACATTCAAGAGTTGTGCAGGTTTTAAAACATACCACAGTCCCGAGCTTCAGCAAAACCTGAGGACTGCCTGGGAACTGTGCTCCTTGCCCACATCCACATAATACCACCAGCTTCAGCCTGGCAGTCCTGCTGCCTAGACCACTCTGGGACAGAGGATGTAACAGTACATTTAGATAATTTTGGATCAGAATAGTAAGAGCTGAAACCTACATGACTGCTATGAAAATGTCATTGAGAATGAATGAGGGAAGGGTAGATGCTTGAAAGGGATTGGAGAGAGGATAATGAAGCAGAAATGATGTCATTACATTTTAATTAAAAATGTAATTACATTTTAATTAAATTCAATTACATTTTAACTAAAAATGTAATTGAACAATGAGTAAATGATCTATTATTGACCTGTAGAAACTTGGGAATAAATGGCTTCAGTGTTCCAGATACTTCTTGAATGTACTAGACTTTTACATATTTAAACCAAACTTATTGACTTTGTCTTTTCTCTCAGTGTCTGAATGGAGGAAAGTTTCCTAAATGTCTGCTTTCAAAAAATCTCTGGATTTTTTTTTTCTGGTAAGTAGGAGCTGAAAAACACTGATGAAAGGGACTGGATATTTTTTCCCTCTTATCATACACTCTTTATTCACCTTCAGGAACAAACACTGTAGCCAGGATGGTGATTCCAAACAGGAAACAGAGGAATAGTTGACTTATTCTACGGCCAATGTGGTTCAGTAGAAACATTCCAGCAACACAGGCTGGGATGGACATTGCAGCAGAGAGACATTGCATTAGGAAGACATTACTTTTCAGGTGTTGGAGATGGATGTTGAAGCCAAATACAGGGATTGCTGTTGTAAATCTGTAAGAAACAAAGAGGAGGGTCACATCATACTACTTAGAGTTGACATCCAAAGCCAAGAATATGATTATCCCAAGAAGATGGTGTTAGTTGTTCACATATGATGGCCTATGTTTATTTTGACCTATTTGTATTTACTTGAGTGATAATGTAATAATCATCATAAAATCATTGTATCCTGACAGGACATATTATTCTTTGATTTTTAAGGAGAGGCAGAGTATTTGTGGAATGCATGTTAGATCCAATTAGGCTTTTAGAGTTTTTTTCTCCAACATGATCTTAGTGAAGGGTATAACTTTTTTTTTAATTTTAAAAACATTTTCTTAATTTTTTGAGAAGTACACGCAATGTATTTTAATGATATTCTTCCCTAATTCTTCCTTACAATTTCTTCCTAGTCCACTTACACATCCTGACCACTCCCAGCTTCAAGGCTTCTTTTCATTAAAAATAAGTATATTTTAATATTACATATTTTGATTAAATTTCCCCCCCAACTCCTCCCAGTTCTTCCTCACTTTCCCTTCCATGAGGGTCCACACCATTTCTGTCTCTTTTTAGAAAGCACACAGGCATTTAAGGAATCATAATAAACTAAGGTGAGCTAAAACAACAACAGGTCTGAATAGGACAAATGAACAGATAGAACAAAAGAGCAAAAGAGTAAAGCACAAGAAACACATACAGATACAGAGACACACATGTTCACACACACAGGATCCTATACAAACACTGGAAGCCCTAATGTATACACAAATGATCTATCTGTAGGATTAGAAAAATGCCCTGACACAACCATATGAAACAAAAAACCCTCCAGATACCATTGTGGTTTTTTTTTT